TGTACTCATGCGTTGAATATTGTGAACGGCTGGTGGTGCATATGTGCATGTGTGTGTGTGTGTGTGTGTGTGTGTGTGTGTGTGTGTGTGTGTGTGTGTGTGTGAGTGTGTGAGTGTGAGTGTAGGTGTGCGTGCTTGTGAATAAGACAAAACTGCTCCTACCTTTATGCTGGCCTTGAGAGTGTAGAACAAGATCCAGAGCCCAGGGATATGTCTCATCAGGCGGAAGATACGGAACACCCTCAGCAGTCGCATAAAGCTCAGGAAACCGATGATCTCTTCGTACTCGCTGAGGAGGACACATTTGATGGTTGAAAAGTCTGTCTGGCTATCTGTGTGTCTGTCTGTGTGTGTCTGTCTGTCTGTCTGTGTCTGTGTGTCTGTGCGTCTGTGTGTCTGTCTGTGTGTCTGCCTGTCTGTCTGTCTGTCTGTCTGCCTCTTCGACTGTCTTTCTGTTTGTTCATCTATTCACATAATCACACGTACAGAAACACATACATATGTTTTAGCACATATGCACACACACACACACACACACGTCTACACTAAAAAACACACAAGTACATGCATGTACATTGTATGCAGGCTACATCCAACCCCTGGATGCTCGTCTAATCTGCAACATTTGCAGTAATGTCAGTCACCCCCACTCCCCCCCCCTCACACAACCTGTTTCCAATCCTCTATCTCATCTCCGATTGTACTAACAAAACTAATCAGCTACTGACCAACCCAATTCTCACCTGTACGTCCGACTGAAGAGCTTCGCCAGCACGTCTATAATGTCCGGCATCAGAGCCAGCACCTCGATGATGGTCATAGGCAGCACGAGGAACCGGAGCCTGTGAGGCGCCACCAGGCAGCGGGAGGTCAGCTCCAGCAGGAAGAAGACCAGACAGACCACATCCATGTAGTACAGCACTGGGTGAGGAGCATCCCGCTTCACTGATGTAGCAAAAGAGATGTATAATGTATTGTATTAGACCCATTGTATTATGAACTTTTTTTTCTCTCTTAAAAAAATTCATTGCGTATTTGAAGAATCTACACACTGTGCTTGTTATATGGGGGGAAATGTGTTGAAATTTGGTCGGCAAATAAGCAAGAAAGCTCTAGGCTGCCCCCCCCCACCCCCTCTTAATGATTGATGACGATTAATCATGTTATGAATGGTTGGAAACGGGTATGGGGGGGGGGGGGGGGGGGGGGGTGACAATGATCATGCAGGTGATGCTTTCTCTGTTTTCACGTTTGGCCTTTTTATTGTTGTAAGCCATCCTATTTCTTACACGGATTCGTGTATCTTTCATTTTTGCTTAGTAGAGCTTACCATTGAGCGGGAATTTGTGTCGTACAAATTAAAATATTTATTATTTATTCATAAGTTTGTCAATCATTACGGGACATGATGCACTAGCTTGTCTTATATGAGATTTTTACCCAGAGCATGAATTAATTTCTCCTTCGTTTCCTTGAGTTTAATTTTAGCATCATTCAACAGCACATTGACAATGAATTGTTTACAACAGTTTACTTTAAAAAACATC